CAAGTGTGTAATAAAATTGTTATGCAGAGACCGTTCAAGACTTACATGATCCAATCCAATCCAATCCACTTTATTTCTATAGCACATTTCACAAACAAACTGTTTCCAAAGTGCTGCACAAATACATAAAAAATAACAACAATAAGATGATAAAGTAAATTACTAAAATAATACTAGTCTTAAAGTAATAAAACTAGTAAAATAATATAAAACCAGTAAAATAAAAATAAAACTATATCATAGAATAGAAATAAATAAACCAATAAATAAATTAAATCAGTAAAACCAATAAAAACACATAAAAATAAATAAAAGACACAGAGGACCACACGACTCACGCGGTGTTAAAAGCCAGAGAATAAAAGTGGGTCTTCAGACGAGATTTAAAACTCTCCCCTGTGGAGCTGCTTGAACGTGAAGCGGCAGATCGTTCCAGAGTTTAGGGTCGACCACAGAGAAGCTCCTGTCCCCTCTGGTTTTAAGTCTCGTCTTAGGCCCTGAGCTGGAGCTGGACCTCGGACCTCAGAGAGCAGGGGTATAAATTTGGATGAGGTCCGAGACGTACTGTGGAGCCAGTCCATTCAAAGCTTTAAAAACAAACAATAAAATCTTAAAATCAATTCTAAAATTAACAGGGAGCCAGTGCAAAGATGCAAGGATTGGGGTGATGTGCTCTTCTCTCCTTTTTGTTCCTGTTAAAAGTCGCGCTGCAGAGTTTTGGACGAACTGTAGTCGGTAAAGTGCGTTTTGCGAAATGTCGGAATAAAACATGAGTCAGTATAGTCACGATTTCTTTGTGTTTTGGTCATTTTTAAGTGAAATAAGGCAGAGCACACTCAGATTGCCCATGTCCAAAAGCTGTTTTTAAATTTTTATATAACGTAAAGCCTTTGTCAGATCTTGTTTTTTTTTTTGCTTTGGACCATAGAATACAAAATGGTTGCCAGCCCAGGTCCTCATATCCCCACCAACGAATGAGAGGCCCCAAAGTGAGGTCACCCAGTGAGTTCAGCCCACTCTACAACAAGAAAACTACAGTTAGCTATTTACATTATATTTATATTCTCATAAAATACTTTTAATAATAATAATAATTTGACCATATCACAAAAAGCATCTTGGGTCAAAGTCCACATTAAGTCCATGAGGAGCAAGAGTATTAAGTTGGTGAATCCAGAAGTGCTCTCTCTTGGTCATTTTTATGCAGATTTTCTGTATTTTACCTCAACAAATGACACATTTATGCCTCTCTTTACTGTTGGCAGGGATCAGATTTGTCAAAAATATGGACACCTGTGATATTTCTTGTATAAAACTGGGACAAATCACTGGTTTTGGATAAATCTGCTGGGACAGGGGACACAGGGCTCAAAACTGGGACTGTCCCAGATAAAAAGGGACGTCTGGTCACCCTGTGTAAACAAATAGGTGTGTTAGTTTCAGAGTAGTTTCATTGTAGTTAGGCAGACATAAGGCAGTGTCCACAAGCATCTGACCAGAACTGAAAAAGCAGCTTTTATGAACTTTGAAACGTCTTCAGTCAAAAACATTTGTCCAGTTGATAGAACTGAATGTCTTTTTTACTATCCAAGAGGTAAATCATTTTTAGGGCTGGGTATCAGAAGTCGCCGATACGATACATACCTCAATACATAGGCCACAATATGATACATATCTCGATAAAGTGAGCAGTTCGATAAAAAACAAAGGCTAAATCATGGCTGTGATACTAAAAGTCTTTGTTAAACCAATTCTTGCGCAAAGTTCATATGAAACACAAACATTTTAATCATCAAAACAGTGAAAATGTCAAATATGTCACATAAACAAGCAACAAAACTGCAGCACTGTAACAAAATTATTCAGTAAAATATGCCAAAAAATCCTCTTGGTGATGTATCGATACAGCAGCCCACGATATCGATACTGTATCAGCACGTTAAATTATACGATATATCGATATTTCAATATTTTTGCACAGCCCTAATCATTTGTTTTAGTGACGAGACCTAAAAAACTCACTGTATTAGATCAAAAACCTGCTTTTAACATTCATTTTCGCTGCCCCCATCTGTATCAAACATCACTGGTCTGTAGAATGCACTGATGTCTTCTGAAACCGAGCTGTTTTTGGTTTCGCTCTTTGTGGTTCAGACTAGAGCCCCACTTCAGAATCAGACCTGCTTCAGTCCTGCATATTTCAGACGTGGCTGTGTGTCGTTCTTATCTGAGTGATACTTGGAAATCCAAATACTTGCAGATACTTCAGACTGTACAGAGACTGGAGTGGTTGGAGTGTTGTATCGTTGTGTGTGCAGGTGTCTGACGCCTCGGGGTCCATGCAGCTGACCGTGGTGAAGGAGGAGAACCCCTTCAGACAGAGCGACCTTCTGTCTGACGAGTGCTTCATCCTGGACCACGGGAAAAACAACATCATCTTTGTGTGGAAAGGTACATTTAAAGCCGTTCGTTTCGATAGTTATGTCTTTGCTCTGCTTCAAATATTCCACAGTGTGACTTTAAACAGCTCTACTTTATATTTATTCAATTACAGATGGTTTTACAGCTCAAAAATACCTCAAAAACAGACATTCTGACTGTGAGCGGGGTTGATTCTCCACAGATCTGACCTGTAACTTGGTCTGGTTTGGTCTCCATGAAGATAGAAAGGTTTAATGGCATACTGTGAGACATTCCAGATAAAGCAATAACATCCCCATGGTGAAAAGCATTTGACGCAACCTCCATCAGAAAATGGTTACACATTGCAGCTTTAAAGGGCCCATATTGTTTTAACTTGTTAGAAATTGGCACATGAATAGTTATTACAACCAATACGCGCATCACGAATTTCGGACTTCCGGTCATCACACAGTGCATACTGGGAAGGATTTTCCGAAAAAGTGAGCATCAAACCGCCATGTTCGTTTTCCCAGTGGGATGTGTCTATTGTCAGAGTCGATCTTTTTTAGTCTTTTGAACCATATCACTTTTGTTTCTGGTTCTGATATTGTCATATTTTAGTTTTGGGATTCGGACATTGTAATTGTGTGGTTGTTGGATGTTCTAACAGCAGAGAACGGCTCAAAAAATGGGCTTTGGAAGTTTGTGAGCTCCATAAATGCAAAAGGGAATCAGATGTGTGTGACTGCAAACCTCTGTTCAAACTGTTTCCCTTTCCAACAGAATTGAAAAATAGTGAAAGGTGAAGGTGATGGGCAGGATTGATCCACAGGGAGGATGAAAAAGGAAACCTTTGGCTGCCTAAGAAATCATCCCGAGTTTGCAGCGAACATTTTGTATGTGGAGTGAAAACAAAGCAGAATCCCGTTTGTTAAGCGAGAGGTGCAGAAGACAAACAGACTGAGCTGCACTTTCTTGTTCTTGTGGTTTTACAGCAACATCACGTCTTGGTCTCTTTCCAGTGGAAGGTGTTTCTTGGTGAACAGTTGGTGAATTTCAAATTGATGTTGACTTTTTAAATTCGTAACCAAGTTTGAGCGAGGGATCGGGATTTTACTTTGTTGGCGCTTCACATACAAAATGTTCGCTGCAAACTCGGGATGATTTCTTAGGCAGCCAAAGGTTTCCTTTTTCATCCTTCCCATGGATCAATCCTGCCCATCGCCTTTGCCTTTCAGTGTTTTTCAATTCCGTTGGGAAGGGAAACAGTTTGAACAGAGGTTTGCAGTCACACACATCTGATTCCCTTTTGCAGTTATGGAGTTTGCAAACAAATTTCTCAAGCCGTTTTCCGCTGTTAGAACATCCAACAACCACACAATTATGATGTCCGAATCCCAAAACTAAAATATGACAATATCAGAACCAGAAACAAAAGTGATATGGTTCAAAAGACTTGAAAAGATCAACTCTGACAATAGACACATCCCACTGAGAAATCAAACATGGCAGTTTGATGCTCACTTTTTCGGAAAATCCTTCCTAGTATGGATTGCGCAATGATAAATGGAAACGGTGGAGTGAATTTATCAAAACAGATTCAGTTTGACCCTTTACTTTCTTCTTTCTTGCAATTGGTTGTAATAACTATTCATGTGTATGCATCAAAGGCAGTTTATCACCCTGGTCAGGCCTTCATGTCCTTGGACCACCTCAGAAAACAAATTGGAATTTTCCTGTGTAATTTCAGAGCTGATTTTGCAAAACTCACTCTCCTGGACCTAAACTTTTGTGTATTTGTTTGTGTATTTCTTTCTCAGGTCGTAACGCAAACGCCAACGAGAGAAGAGAGGCCATGAAGACAGCAGAGGGATTCATTCAGCAGATGGGCTACCCCGCTAACACACAGGTACACACACTAACACACAGGTACACACACTAACACACAGGTACACACACTAACACACAGGTACACACACTAACACAGGTACACACACTACACAGGTACACACTAACACACAGGTACACACACTACACAGGTACACACACACACAGGTACACACACTAATACACAGGTACACACACTAATACACACTAACACACAGGTACACACACTAACACACACTAACACACAGGTACACACACTAACACACAGGTACACACACTAACACACACACAGGTACACACACTAACACACAGGTAACACACTACACACAGGTAACACACACTAACACACAGGTACACACACTAATACACACTAACACACAGGTACACACTAATACACACAACACACACAGGTACACACACTAACACACAGGTACACACACTAATACACACTAACACACAGGTACACACACTAACACACAGGTACACACACTAATACACACTAACACACAGGTACACTCACTAACTCACAGGTACACACACTAATACACAGGTATACACACTAACACACAGGTACACACACTAACACACAGGTACACACACTAACACACAGGTACACACACTAACTCACAGGTACACACACTAACACACAGGTACACACACTAATACACACTAACACACAGGTACACACACTAACACACAGGTACACACACTAATACACAGGTACACACACTAATACACAGGTACACACACTAATACACAGGTACACACACTAACACACAGGTACACACACTAATACACAGGTACACACACTAATACACAGGTACACACACTAATACACAGGTACACACACTAACACACAGGTACACACACTAACACAGGTACACACACTAACACACAGGTACACACACTAATACACAGGTACACTCTCACCAACGCTTATGGAACTTTTATAACTCTTTCTCTTAGGCTACGTTCAGACTGCAGCCTGAAGTGACCCAAATCAGATTTTTTCGCTCCTATGCTCCTGTTTCCGATCTTTTAACGACTGAACGACACAGATCCGATTTTTTCAAATGTGACCCAGGACACTTGGGTATGTGCTCCAAAAACCGATACATATCCGATCTTTTGACATGCGACTTCAGTCTGAACGGCACAAATGTCACACAAACGTTCTTCTCGTCAGACGAAAATTGTTTCTGAACTCTATGTGAGTGAAGCAGTGAAGCCCATATCAATTCCACCACTCTTGTCTGCGACTCTGCACCCACACGTTCTTTTCTACGGACGTCGCTGCCGCTGCCCCACAAAACGCCACGGCCAAAAAACCTCGTCCTTCTCCTTCTCAATCTCCTCCTTAAAACAAATAAGCTGTACATGTTCTGGCTCCGGTACAACAGCAACTTTAAAATCTCCAGGGGCTCAATGCTCGCAGAAATGTTTAGGCGACTTCTGAAAACTTTGTGTCCTTCCAATGCACATGTGGGACACTTTTGGGGCGTTTAAAGTTCACACTGGAGATCACATACAAGTTGCATTTAATTGGAAATGTGAATGACCTTGCTAAACGATAGTATTTCATTTAAATAATCCAAATTAATCATTAAAACCTGCAGTCTGAACGTAGCCTTAGTCAAAAACGGTTGGTAAATTCTAGACTTGTTTAACATCAGTTCACCTGTTGTATTTCTGTTCTTTCTGCGCAGATTGTGTTAAAATAAAGCTCAGATTAAAGTCCAACTTGAATAACAGAGCTTCAGATTTAGTAGTACCTTCAGTTACAAAAACAAGTATTTAGGATTCAAAATTAAAATATACTTCCTGCTTCTTGTTAGTTCTGCTTCTCAATCTTGGAGCGAAGTCAGTTTAAGTGGCACAAATTTAAAAAATATATATATACAAATAATAAAAGATCATGTCTATTCTTCCTCTCGTTGACAATAAATAACCGTTTCACATCATCGGGATTTCAGTTTTGAGCAAAATTTGACCTCACTGTGGAGGATTTAAGCTCGTTCTATTTTAATAATCAACAAAGAATGTATTTTTACACCAGCATTTGCATGGCCTTATTCCAAATTTATGAGAGAAGAGAAGACACGTTTGCTTTTAACATCTCTGCCCTCAATATGTCATTTTTACAGAAAGTTGCAGAAAGTAAAAAGACAGAATCAGAGTTTGAGCGAGATGTGGGTCAGACCAGAAACGTGGAGCGTGTTTGTGACATTAAATGAACTCTTTAGTGGTCAGATAAAACTGTTACAAATTGAACAGTTTAGTTTTTTTAGCCACAATCCTGTTTCTACGCTTTTGGAAATGAGGTAATTTTGGTGCCATCGCCCAATATTTATGCCCTTCCAATGAGTACAAACCACATAACCACATGCACTGAGCTCTGTGGGTGTGCGTGTTTGAAGCAGAAGTAGAAAAACTGATAGTAGAAATAATCTGTTTCCTCCACCTGCTTATCTCTATGGGAGTGTTACTGCTTTAAATTTATTTTGCATTTGTTCAATTACAGAAGTAACAAAAAAGTACCTTGTTTGTGTAACCCCAGAGTCGTACAGCTCCATGACAAACTGTAAAGCTTTTGGACGCTGACAAAATAGAATTATCTTTTACTATGTTGTGAAAAACAGGTTTCTTACCGGGGGTGGAGTGTAGAATTCTGGTCCTTGGGTAAAAACCGTCACAGCAGGTTCCCACTACATGTTCTCTAGATCAGGGGTCTTCAACCTTTTTCCTCCGGTGAGCTCCTTGACATTTTATCTTCCTACGGGATTTGGGAAAAGCTTAATATACCACTTAGCCCCGTCAGCGGCGCATCACATACGTCACGACCAAATAGCAGCGATTGGTTAAATGAAAAAAAGTACCAGCCTACCGTCGAGTGAACGAATCCTAACATTGCGAGGTCAGACGGTTTCTACGAAGTTAAATCGACTGATGAATCAGGCTATGAGACCCCTGCTCTAGATTTTTTTTTAAAATGTACATTACAGACTTTTGGAAGGCCCTTCCTGCCCTAAGTCCTGGGTAATCCTTATATGTAACCTTACCTGTATCCCTGGACAGTCCAATGGCTCTGAGTCCTACACTGAGGGTGCTTGCCTCTCCACAGACCTGATCTGTAATTCAGCCTGGTGATTGCACCATGGAGAAAAGTTAAATGCAATACTTGGGAACATGCTATCCAATAAACAAACTAAAATGTGCATGTTTTTTTTTTTTTTTTTTTTTGAGCATGTTATTGTTCAAATTTGTGTTTGCAATTTGTGCAGCTCCTCACAGACCATTTTTTCAATGTTGTACAATGAATAGTTTTGTTTTTATATACTGTATTTTCTGGAGTATAAGTCGCACCAGCTAAAAAAGGCATAATGAAGAAGAAAAAAACATGTAGGTCGCACTTTTTGGGGGAAATTTATTTTATAAAATCAGAGACCAGGAACCGACATTTCATCTTGAAAGTCAAGTTCTAGTAAAAACAATTGAACAGAGAACAACAGACTGTTAACGTCACATATGAACAGTTCTTCAGATAAACTATAACATAAACAACAGAACAGAACAAGTTTAACAAACTCTCCATCTCACTCCAAATCAGTAAATCCATTCAATTCTTCATCCTCGGTGTCACTTCTGAGCAACTCCACGACCTCCGGAGGTAAACAGACGCCGCTTCCTCTTCTGTGTCGCTGTCGTCAGACTCAGCATCAGTTCCAGTTAGAATTATTCGGGCCTTTCTGAATCCCGACAGGATGGCACTGAGGTCACTTACATGTTAAATTGTTCAGTGATACAGAAGTAATGGTGCTATTGACTGACATGATACAGACAGGACAGAGGCTCTTTCTGCAGGAGACATGCGCAGTAGAGCCAAGTGACAGTGGTACAGGAGGAACAGGAGCAGCAGATACTGACACACAAGACTAGAACCTCTCCACGCTTCAGTGTGAAAATGTTAATATATAAGTTGCACCAGAATATAAGTCGCAGGAAACACCCAACAAATAAAAGGAAAAAAAAGTGTGACTTATAATCTGAAAAATACGGTACATCTCTTTATCCTATGACATCACATCTGCACCTTCTGCTCACTCCACCTCCATCTCCGCTCTCAGATCCAGGTTCTGCCGGAGGGAGGGGAGACGCCCATGTTCAAACAGTTCTTCTTGGGCTGGAGGGACCGAGACGAGAGCGAGGGTCTGGGGAAGGTCTACGTCACCGAGAGGATCGCTCACATTCAGCAGGTGGAGTTTGACGCGTCCAAACTGCACCAGTCCCACCACATGGCGGCGCAGTACATGGTGGACGACGGCAGCGGGGACACCAAGGTGAGGAATCATTTTTTTGATTTTTACACGTGACAAGATGTTTAAAGGTCCTGTATTATGCAAAACTGAATACTGTGAGCAGCTTTTTGTCATGTTGGAATGTTGTTGCCTCATCCAAAACATACCTAGAGTTTTTTTTTCGATTTTTTTGTTTAGTTTTTTACCTCAAAACCTGTTTACTGTGGGAAATATTATGTGTTGGTCATGCTAATTCACCTAATATTATGGACTTTGGAATGACAACAGGGTGGAAAACACGTATGACTATCTATAGGTCTATATAACATGTTTTTTCTGTACTTTGAGTGCCATAAAGAACATGTTTTTCTGGACTTTGAGTGCCACGAAGCAGAAAAACTGACATATGTGGTCCCCGTGGCATGTTTCCACCCATGATAAGGTGTACTGGGTCAGCAGTATTGTTCATTTTCTTGCTGTATATGTTAAATCAACAAGTTAATGTTTTGTCAAGATGTAGTATAAAGCTACCCCTGATTTTGAGTTGGTCAGAGGCGTCGTTCCGGGGTGGCAGTTGTACTTGGTAATCAACTTGAATCTCTCTCAATGGAAATGCTGAAATAAAGTGGCCTGTTCTCTCGGATTCTCCATCTCCTGTGCTTCTTTTTAGGACACGCATTGAACCTTCCGAAAAAACTCACATTACCGTGCAATATATCTGTACTGAGGAAGTCAAATTTTGCTCAAATACACAGACAATGCTTTCGTAGTGCATGTGTGAAGCAAAACAACACACAATAAGGTCATTTTTGATAAGTAGTCCAAATCTACTATTACTACTATTGCTGCTATCTGTGAATATACTAAAGAAGAGATGCACTTTTAAACGTTTTTATGAATCTTCGGTGTTTGTTGTAGATCTGGAGGGTGGAGAGCAGCGGGCGTGTCCCTGTGGACGAGAGCACCTATGGGCAGTTCTACGGAGGAGACTGTTACATCATCCTGTACACCTACGGCGCCCGGCAGATCATCTACACGTGGTAACGCACAAACACGTGTTTTATTTAGATTACACACTGTTTCAACAAGTTTAAGCAGAGGTGGCGCTACCGTTAGGCAAAAGTAGGCGGCCGCTTAGGTCCCCCGAACCTGGAGGGGCCCCCAACCAATTTCCCACAGTGCCACTAATGGCCGAGGCCTCAGAGCAATTTTATTTTCTCTCAATATGACATTAAATGAGAGTGGTTTATTTTTAAACAAGAAAACACCATCAAAATAATATCTGACTCTCAAATCTGTTTAAACTGTCAAAGCATTTCCACCTTTCACGTTAGAATGGACGAGTCAGCTTGACCCTGATTTGAACATAATCATGGCATAATTTTAATCCTATGTAATGTATGTAAACAAAAATGTAACTGTACTAGCAAAAAAAATAAAACTACTTTCAGTTCTGGTTATCTAGTAGGCGACTGAACAACAATAACTGAATAAGACAATTTCCAATCCACCATAATTCAAATAAAAATGTGCGTGTCTCAAGAACAATGGGGAAAAACAGACAATAAATATAAAAAAAACAAACAAAAACAAAGCGGTGCATTATAATGAGGGCCCCAAACTCAAGTTCACCTAGGGCCCCCAAATTTCTAACTCCGCCACTGAGCATATGCTAGGCCCCACCACGTAAATTTGCAGCAAAAAGGACTCTTGATCCTTTGTAAATTACATTGCAAATTTCTCTGATCTGGCCAAGATTTTAAAACTTATACCAGGTTATTCATCTTGTTTTCAGATTTATTCTCTACTTACAAGTTCTGAGAGCTTAATTCTAGTCTAGAGGTTGTTTATTTTAAGATAACTTGTCAGTTAAAATGATCTTGCTGCACAGACTGATCATTTCATTTCAGATAATTTACTTTTACGTCACTTTCTGATTATGTGTTTACATTTTTAAATTTTGGCTAAGCTTTATTGCAGCGTAGAATCATAACATGACTATGAACGCCCCTGTCGACAGGTTCTAGAAAATGAGCTGTTTAAATCCATTTTGTGTTTTTTCTTAAGTTTTCAGAAAGTCATAAAACTTTTTGCTAATACGTGCATTGTGTCACCATGGTAACTCGTAAACATTTCACCATTAGAGATACATGTAGAACACCCCCAAGCGTCATGTCACTGCAAAGTATCAATATTTACATTATGGATGTTTTTATTGCACTGGGGAAAAACGCTTGGAAAAAAGGCTTGCATTTCCACGAACCTGACTCAGACGTAACCTAAAGGAGCATTTCTATCCACTGATCTTAGGCAGTAGCTCAGTTGGTAGAGCATTTGTCCACTGATCAGAAGGTTAACGGTTTGAATCCTGCTCTCGACATAATAACACTGTTTGAGTGCTCAGATCCTTGTTGATGTGATTCCAGCTCTCACAGATGAATGCTGTTGTTATGTTCTTGGGCAAGACACTTAAACCACCTTGCCCCCCACCTTGGTAACATGGTAGAAAGCTGCAAAAACAGACCTGGGTGTTGTGCAGCTCCTGGGCCAAGTACATAATACTTTGGTTCACTCTGACCAACAAAAAAAAACAAACATATTTTAACATTTTACCTCATGCATGGACTAAAGCTTCATTACTTTAACTTTTTTACAATTCATATTATGCAGAATTGAATAAAGCATTTTGGCCCTCCACAATACTTTCTGTTTCTCATGTGACCCCATGGAAAAAAGAATTGCCCACCCCTGTGCAAAAAGGTCAGTTTTGCATAATTTTCTCTCTTTAATCCACTCCCTACACAGAGCACCTTTAAATGCACATGTGTAGTTTTGTCTTTGGATATAGTTATTCTGTTTGGGTCCAGTAAAATGGATGCAGTCGAACACAGTCATTGTTGTTGTCTATTACTGTAACAGAAAGAGCATATTTTTCTTTATCTCTTTGCATGTTTCACTTCCTCTCGTTCTGCTCTGATACTCGTCCTCCTGTTGCACCTGATAACTTTAATCCTCTCTCATCTGAGTCTCATTTGTGTCAAGGCTGTTTCTCTGTAACACGAGACACAAACTTACTCTTCTAAACCCAGGATTAATGCATATTTTCAGTAGCTTCTAAACGGCAACCGCATCTAAATGTCACCTTATTTGTTCTCAACTGTTGCCAGCAGAGGGCGCCAAATGCTCAATCCAAACGTCAATAATGAAACTGAAATCTTAATTTGCATGATTTTCTGTCTATTAAATTATATTTTTAGCAGACCGTGCACCTTGTTTGTTTCATAACATTTCCTGCATGTCAAATCTTGGTCTGTCAAGTGAATAAATTGTCAAAATTACTCAAATTAAGATTACAATTTGGAATTCAAAGTCATTTTAAGTAAACTAGGTATTTTCTGTATAATCAGTCATCCAGGTATAGTCAGGCTGGTGCCACCTATTGTCTCTGCTCAATTTCATTTCTCTCCAGCGTCTAGGTCAGGAATCAGAATACGCTAGACGGTCAGACAAAAGACAAAAGACAAAAACCCCAGAAGTGCGAATTCGGGCACCAGCCAATCAGCGAAGACCCATACATTCTGTGTTGGCAACAATTCCCGAAACCGAGGATTTAAACAAAGAGAACAAAGAGAATGTTTGATGAATTTTATCAAGGGGAAAGACGTTATTGTCCTTCTTCCTACAGGATTTGGGAAAAGTTTAATATACCAGTTAGCCCCGTTAGCGGCGCATTTCACACGTCACGACCAAACAGCAGCGATTGGTTAAATAAAAAAAGTATCTGCCTACTGTCAAGCGAACGAATCCTAATGCTGCGAGGTCAGATAGTTTCCCTGAAGTGAAACCGGTTGATGAATAAGACTAGTCCAGGTAGGATCCAGGCTTTAAACTACTCATTACTTTCTACAGTGCAGGTGCAGGTACTGACTTAGTGACATCCATACAATATTTTGTGTATATGTTACATGTAATTATCTGGTAACATCATAAAAACATACATACATAGCGCTGTGTAAGTACAAGCCTGTGTAAAATGCGTCTTGTGTGTGTTTGTGTTTGTAGGCAGGGGTCCAGCAGCTCCTTGGACGACCTGACCGCCTCGGCCTTCCTCACCGTGGAGCTGGACCGCTCTCTGGGAGGAAACGCAGTACAGGTACAAGCACAAGCACCGGGAGGGCATCTGACACACTGCAGCTTTTATAGAGACTGACGGAAATGGAAATATGATGTTTAAAAGACGAGGGTCAAGAAAAGTACTGTCAAAAATATCTAAAAACAATGACAAACAAAAGTATTTATTATATTAAAGCGGTATTATAGTATTTGCATTTTTATCACTTTCACAATAAAGCAGTCAGATGGTGGTTTAGTATGTGAGCGATATGGATCAAAAAATATATCTCGATATATTTTGCTATATCTCGATATACGATATATATCTCGATATACGATATATATCTCGATATATGTTCAAGAAAAAATAACCCCCTAAAACTGAAAACTGCAAAAAAAAATCTGCCAAATTCCACAAGGTCCTTTTTTTTAATTGAAGTGTAAGAGGTCGGCAGTTCATACAGGAACATTTAAGATTACAAAAAAAAAACTAATTACATAAATAATAATTTAACTGTAAAATAAAAGAAATAATACATATTTCCTTATTTTCATTCATAAATAAAACAACTCAACACAAGCTCATCTTTGCATTAACTCTGTTATCCAAACCAGAACCAGAACCAGAACCATGAGCTCATTTAGCAGAAGAAGCTCAGGATGTTCCTTATTTTAATAGATCCATGTTATTATCCAGCAGTGAGGAGCTCTGAGGTTTAATCCCACAATCCACTGCAGATCAAACCCAACGTTTCCAAACACTATTGTACAAGTGACACTGCAGCAGATTATTAATTTAAATATTCTGCATAAAAACAACTTTACATGACTAAACTTTACAATATATAAAACATAACGACTCTAGAGCCACATCAGCCCGTTTGCGATAATAATGTGTTTAATGCAGTTTTGCGCACGTGTGTTTACATTTTACAGAAACGAAACTTAAGCGCATGACTCATTTGCATAAACAGCACTTCTCATGCAGCTCAGCTCGTTTAGCTTCTTTCGGGCTAAAGGACGCGACTCGGTGGAATATGAGGTTTTGTTGCTGATGGTTTTGTCTGTAAATGCTGGAAAAGGTTCGTGGTGCTTGAAGCTTTTCACTGGCACCAACTTTCAGCGTTTACGGCGACAGTGACGAGTGAAGGAGACACGAGCGAACGAAATCAGGGAGGCGGGGGTGCGGAGGCGATGACAGAGAAGGTAAACAAGCGAAGCGGCGAAATCAGAATTGAATATAAACATTATATCGATATATACGATATGTCAGAATTCATATCGAGTTTAAAAACTCGATATATTTAAAATATCGATATATCGCCCACCCCTAGTATGTGACCTTTTCAGATATTTATTATAGTGCTGTCATGCAATTAAAAAAAATGAGAGATTAATTAATTATGATCTGTAATTAATTAATCTAATTAATCTCATTTTAATCTCACCTAAAAATTGCTGAGAAAAGCTTCAATTTGAGGTATTTTCATTTAAATTCATTATTACATTATTGTGGCAGATCAAAAGACTCATATAGAACAAAAAAAGTGACTTTATAAAGTCATTTATTGTTTAACAAATCTCCCCAAATTGGCTGTTGAGCCCAAGTCTCCACGAATAAGAAACTGTTTGCTGTAAAGTAGCAAAGACGAGGAAATCTGAACATAATAACTTTTGTTTACTTAAAGACAATAAAAAGTCCAGTCTTTCCTTAACCAGATTAAAAATATTATTGATAGAGAAATGCTTTATATATGAGATCACTGGTTTTAGTCCTGGTTTTAGTCCTGGTTTAGACCTGGTTTAGACCTGCTTTAGACCTAGTTTAGTCCTGGAATGGATTAATCCTGGTTTTAGTCCTGGTGTTAGTTCTGGTTTAGTCCTGGTTTAGTCCTGGTTTTAGTTCTGGTTTTAGTTCTGGTTTAGTTCTGGTTTAGTCCTGGTTTTAGTTCTGGTTTTAGTTCTGGTTTAGTTCTGGTTTAGTTCTGGTTTAGTCCTGGTTTAGTTCTGGTTTTAGTTCTGGTTTTAGTTCTGGTTTAGTCCTGGTTTAGACCTGGTTTAGTCCTGGTTTAGTCCTGGACTGAATTAGTCCTGGTTTTAGTCTTGGTGTTAGTTCTGGTAAATGTCGCTCTTACTGCGCGTGTTTTGTGTGGGTTTCCGACAATGAGTGGAATTGCCGAAATAAAAAAATGTATAAATGTGTTTTGTATGTGTGTGTGTTGTTGTCCCAACAACACATAAAAACAGGTTTTATAATAAAGAAACTCACATACAGAAACACTAAAGTTAGAGATAAAAAATGAGATTAACGCGATTAAAAAACATAACGCGCTAAATATGACTGTAATTAATTAATCGCAATTAACGCGATCATTTGACACCCCTAATTTATTATATTTATTATATTTTCCCAGATCTTGTTTGTCACTATGTACTTAAATGGAGTCAGTGGAATTAACCAGCTTCCATAAAACATAAAAAATTTTCCTTTACTTCTTATAAGCAATATTAAGAAAACACTGTACTGTTGATTTTTAAATCTTTTATTATTTTTTATTCTTTATTTTGTTTATTTTGTTTGTATTTCGCTTGTCTTGTCTTTCTGTGTGTGTCTCTGTGTGTCCTGACATGTTCACGCTTGATTAAAAGAACAATAAATTACAAATCACACACAACGTCAACTATATTAAGTGAAGTGTCTTGCTTCAGGATCAAAATAACAGTATGCACTATTTAGGCTGGAATCGTGCCACCAACCAGTTGTTTATAAGCTAACCACAAGAGAAACTGAAATTGAACCTCAGACCTTCTCCGTGTAAGGCCACATTATGAGAGAGTTTTCATTTATTGACATTTTATCTACATAATTTAACTGTACAACTTCGCTTAATTCACCTATTTCTTCTGGTTTTCTTGTAGGTGAGAGTGTGTCAGGGTAAAGAGCCTCCACACCTCCTCAGTCTGTTTAAATCCAAGCCCCTGATCATCTATAAGAACGGGACTTCACGTCTGGGAGGAACAGCGCCCCCTCCTGACACGCAGCTCTTCCAGGTCCGACGCAACCTGGCCTCCATCACCAGGATCGCAGAGGTAAACGCTACGGCAGCACATTTGGAAGTCGATGCCACTGACTTCCTGTTTAAATATTCCATTATGAAGCAGTTTGCGATGTAGAAAATGTAAAATAATGATCTGTGTACATTAGGGAAATAAAAAAAATGCTTAGAAGCGAATTGGTTGAGAGGGAAACGAAGCAGGCTGTGATCATTAAAGGTCCTATATTACTGTATTTTTTGCACAATAAGTCGCTCTGGAGTGTAAGTCGCACTTTTTGGGGGATTTTTTTTTTTTTTTGCACCATTGAGCACAGGCCATTGAAAACAATACGGTGCCATCTTGGATTTATCTTCCAGATTTTATTATACTTCTATGCTTCATAGTCCTGGAGTTTTGAATAGGAAATCAATGGTATTACCGACTTGCTGTTACAATACTTTATTAGTAAGCAGTTTACAATGAACAAAATGGAATATAACTATGTATACATGTTCATTGTTCAGTCCCCATCTACTTTTCTGAACTTGAAAAGAAGCAAAGTGAAGTAGAAAAAATTAATTTCACCATAAGTATTGAGATGAACTGCACTGCACTGTACACTAGTGTTTTTATCTTAATTTATTTATCTATGGTTACTGTAGTGGTTAGAGGTGATGCTATTTGTTGTTTCTGTGCACATGGGATAGAGAGAAACGTAATTTCGATTCCTTTACATGTGTAGGACATTTGAAGAAATTGACAATAAAGCGAACTTTGAACTCTAAACTTTGACGTATGTGACGTGTGACGCAGTTCCTTTCTCTGCCTGCAGGTGGACGTGTGCGCCGTCAGCCTGAACTCCAACGACGCCTTCCTGCTGAAGCTGGCGGGGGGGCGGGGCTACCTGTGGATGGGCAAAGGGGCGAGTCAGGAGGAGGAGAAGGGGGCGGAGTATATGAGCGAGCAGCTGAAGTGTACGACCACTCGCATCACGGAGGGAGACGAGCCAGGTCTGACACACACGCCTCAACATACTACAACACTAACTAGGACTGGGGATCATTAAGGAGTTGCAGATACGATACATACCTCGATACAGTGCACTTTTGGTCCGATATGATATATTTCTAATCGATTCAATACGATTACTTAAAAAATAAAGGCTAAATCATGGCTGTGATACTAAAAGTCTTTGTTAAACCGCTTCCTATGCAAATTCATATGAAACACAAACATTTTAATCATCAAAACTGTGAAAATGTCAAATGTGTTGCATAAACAAGTTTCCTTCCTCTAAACAAGCAACAAAACTGTAGCTCTGTGACAAAATAATCTTGTCAAATACACCAAAAAAATGCACTTGCTGATATATCGATACAGCAGCCCATGATATCGATACTGTATCATGACATTAAACTAAACAATATATCGATATTTCAATATTTTTGCACACCCCTAACACTAATGCACTGTTTTGTATCCTTGCCATATTGATTAAAGATTTAAACTAAACATTAGATCTTTTGAATAGGAAAAGTTATTCAAAATGTTGTATATATCAGCAAGCTATTTTAGTTTTTTTTAAATTATTATTATTATTGGTCAAATGGCAGCATTGGATTGTAGTTTTGTTTCTGTTCCATTTTCATCACCACAGTCATTATTAAAAAAAACTTTTTATACAACACAATGTATTTTAACACAATATAATAGTAGTATGTTGAATATTGTCAGGTGAGCTTATACTTGTTCTGATAAAGACTGTTCCATGGAAATTGAAATAATCTTTTGAGAAAAAGTCCTCATTTCAAAACCAAAAGACATTCTCCAGCACAAAATTCATGTCATATAAGGAAGGAATAATTGTTTTTGATATTGATTCTGAATAGATCTACAGGCGAGTTTCATTGTTGACAAAAGCGCGCGTTGCATGCTGGGAATTATTTTGGTCGGCGGCAAGAAACACTAATTCAACATGACGGACGGAGCGAGAAAGCACGTAAAGGGTATTGATCCCGGTTATTTATCCACTCTAACGGCAGAGGACCCAAGACCATTTGACCAGAAATTGGTCATAAGCATCGATGGAGCCAAATCACCCTTTTCAACCCCTACAAAAGGTGGAACAAACCAAATTTCTGGTCAGAATCACCAACTACCTGGACAAATATTCACTTTGGTGATATCCACAATGACTTGGTGGAAACTCCTGGACCATTCACAGCAGAAAAGATGAAAACCTCCAAGAGTCTCGATGTGTTGTTGAACTTGTTGGAGTCCACGGTTTGTTAGGATCTTCTACGTTTGCTCTGCGGATGTTTGAAAGCCGTTTAATTCGCCGTTAGCGGTTTCTTTTCACTCAGAATACGAAAAAGACATTTTCCTTCTTCCGTGCTTCTATTTGTGCATCCGATAATGCAGCAGGAATTTACCATTATCGGGGATAAATACGCGAGGTTACGCACTGTGTTTGACCGCTACCGTGTTTCTTGCCTCAGACCAAAATATTTCCCAGCATGAAACGCGGGCTTTTAATAACAATGACGTCAGCTGAAACTCGCCTATAGATTGGGCTGGCTTGGGTCTAATATATTGCAATGTTGTGTTCTTATATGTTGTTCTTTGTTGTTCTTCCAGCGGACTTCTGGGAGTCACTGGGCGGCAGGACCGAGTATCAGACGTCTCCAAACCTGGAGAGTGAAACCATGGCCCACCCCCCTCGTCTGTTCGGCTGCTCCAACAAGACCGGGAGATTCATAGTATGTGATAAATACAGAGAATATGAAGGCTGAGCTCACACTACAGGGTTTACAGGCTGCATGATATAAAAAAAATATCTCCTTTAATCTGAGTTTGTGATGAGTGAATCTTTGGTTCGGTGTACAGATTGAGGAGGTCCCTGGAGAATTCACACAGGACGATCTGGCTGAAGATGACGTCATGCTGCTGGACGTGTGGGACCAGGTAATGGGACACTTGGATTATTTTCCCAGATTGTGTAATTTAAATTTACTACAAACTCAATCTCAAGACCTTTTTACCACAAACCAACAAAAGAGCTGCAGCTATCTCTTTATATTCAAGTGTTAATATAAAGCTTTATGTGTATTTTTAAATCAGTAGATTGACCAAAACCAAAGATGGGCCTGTGCTGGAGATCGCTGATACTCTAAAAAGTCCACACACTGGCCTGATGTTTGGGTCTATCGTTAGTTTTCACATGAACACGTGGTCTTCAAACTCGCTGACACAACCACAAACAGAAAATGTCAAAGTGTCACACCACAACAAAACGGCTCCAACACTGAGACAGTTTGAGCGAGTGATACATCATATTTAGATCAGGGGTCTCCAAACTTTTTTCTCCAGGGAGCTTCTTTTACAAAATGAAATGCCAGAGAGCTGCTCATTTCAGCTGTCGCAAAGAGACTGAGTAAATATAAGAGTCACGGCAAACCTTAGGTGGGGAACAGTTAGATGCTTATAAAACATAAACCATTATCCAGGGCTGGAAATCCTGGAAAAGTCATGGAAATATATTTATTTTTTAAATTTATCATTGCATTTATATAGTGCCTTTCAAGATACCCAAAGCATTTTACAGCTCATTAGTCATTCACTCAACACTCAGTAGTGTGTACTACTGTAGCCACAGCTGCCCTGGGATAGACTGACGGAAGCGAGGCTGCCAATCTGCGCCATCGGCCTTTCTGACCACCACCATCACTCATGCACACACCACTTTCATACTAGGCAATGTGGGTGAAGTGTCTTGCCTAAGGACACAATGACAGTTTTTGTGACTGGCGCCCCCCTGTGGCTCCTGATTTTCCCTCTGGTCTCCCGTCCAAGTATTAACCAGGTGCGGCCTTGCTTAACTTCTGAGATCTGACGAGATCAGGCTTTGACAAGTCAGTATGGCCAAATTAAAAATGTCATATTCCAGGCCTAGAAATGTCATGTAATTTTTTATTTCAATGAAAGTTTTGAAAATGTCATGGAATTTTAGTATCTCTTTCAGGCAACTACAGAGTTCTGTTAAGTTCTCATTAGGTTATTATGAGTGCAAAGGGTTAACATTTCATATTTAGCTCTAAAAGCCTGATCAATTCTACACATGGAGGTGCCGTAAAGTGGAAAATTCACTTTAGGTGATGAAAAAGTCATCAATAATCAAATTTTACTTATTAAGCACAATACATAGAATTCAAAAATCCCTTGGCGATCTATTTGAAGGGCTTGAAGAGGCACTAGTAGCTCCTGAGCTTCAGGCTGGAGACCCCTGATTCAGATGCTGTAACACAAATCACGTATTGCAGGTAGGAATCTAAATCTCTCGGTACGATGTTTTCACAATTTGCATCTCACTGTACGATATTTATTTGCGATAGTTTGAAGAGGCTGATATAATTGTAGATACGACACTTTTTTTGCTTTTAAAATACCATGACAAGATTTTGGGGTGAATTATTTCCATCATAATCCCAAGAATTCAAGTAAAAAACATATTTCTTCATGTTGTCTGCACTGAAATGAATCATGGGATATGTAGTTCTCTAAGTTTATAAGCTGTTGTTACTGTAAAACCATGCATTTAAGCAAAAGAACTTGTGATTCAATATATTGTGACGGCCCACGGCATTATTGTGAGACTTTTGACGATACATTATCACAATATTTCAGTTATTGTTACATCCCTAATTTCAGGTTTTTGTCTGGATTGGAAAAGACGCGAATGAAGTGGAAAAGACAGAATCCATCAAATCAGGTTCGAACTAAACACACTTACTTAAAAATACTCTGACCTGTAATTTTGTACTAATCATTTGTCATAATCTCTCTTGTTTCAGCGATCCAGTACATAAAGTCAGACCCGAGCGGGCGGGACAAGAGCACCCCGCTGGTGGTGGTGAAGCAGGGCCACGAGCCGCCCATCTTCACGGGCTGGTTTCTGGCCTGGGACCCTCTGCACTGGGACTCTGTGACCAGGAACATGAAGTCTCTCACTGTGTAACATAAAACAACAACGAAGGAGCCGTTCAAAACAGTATCTTGTTTACATTGTCACTGCTCATGTATTACTGAAGCTTTTACGAACTTTTGTGAATGTCTTTTTTTTTTTTTTTATCTGTGAGTTTGGCAAAGTGTTCATAAACGTTTATTTTATTTTCTACACTCAGTGCCACTTAAGTCTTAAAGCGACACCATGTAACTTTGTGGAGATGCCAAGTTACCCGCAAGAACCCATGGAAATAGAAAGGCTAGATAAGAGTCAGGTTTGTGGAGATGCGAGCCCACTCATAGTAAATATACATGTTTTTCTACGCTTTTCATTGCACAGAAATAATCGTAAAAATCAATAAATGTTGTGATACATATTTCCTATTCAAAAAGTGAAAAAGTAGACTTGATATGTTTATATTACAAATTAAATTAATGAAAGTGTGACCTCCGAACGAGTGACAATATAGGGAAATACTGATTAAATGAAAAGTTATTGTAGTGAAAGATTTTATCAAACATTACAGATGTTTTTATGTAATATATCTCACAAAAGATTTAATATTTTTACTTAGTCTAGTACTGTAAGCCTTATATTTGTCATTTATTGCACTGCACGTTTTGGAGTATCAAACTGTTACTCGTTTTTGTTTTATAAAGTCTAATTATGAACCAGGTCAGTTTGGTTTGCATGAAAATCTGCGTTAACTATTACTGCCAAGAAAAATGCCTTTTGTTGTTTTGAATTTATATATTCTATAATAAAAAAAATCGAGTAAAAAGTAAAGTTTGAATGTTCGTAATGTTTTGTTGTTGTTGTTCCTTTCCCCGTCACAAGATGGCGACAAACTACTGGGAAAGTTTTCGGAGCGAGTCACGAGTTAGTATCGTGTATAAGCCTAATTTTATAACGTTTTTCTAAATAAATCTTTTTCTTTTTTTTTCTCAATATTGTTATTTTATTGGTAATCTTTGCTGTTTTCTTCTCTCTGACGAATTAAGAACATAAATTAGCACACAGAGCCTAAATAATGTGATGTAATCAAAGTGAACGATGCTAATCCTGTTTCTTTTAGTAATTATTAACGATAAAATTTGCCAAAACAACAAAAAAATAAAAGCATAGGCCTGTATTTAAATATAGTGGGATTATTTGGGCTATTTTAACATTTTTAAATAAATGAATGAATGAATAAATGAATAAAGAAAAATAAATAAAGGGCTGTGAAAGTTATTTTTACAAGCTCATTTTGTTCAGGTAGCCTAAAAGATGCAAATAAAAAACAAAATAAAATAAATAAATACATTTTATTAATATAAAAATAAATAAATAAAATAGTGGGTTGCGAAAATTGCAATATTATTTTTTTAAAGGTGCATTATGTAACTTTTCTGGTGGAGCGTCCGTCAAATACTCTTCTCCATGGAGATGTTATTGCTTTGTCTGGAATGTTTCACAGTATGGCTTTAAACCTTTCTACGTGTGAGACCAAACCAGACCGAGTTACAGGTCAGATCTGTGGAGAGGCGACCCCGCTCACAGTCAGAATACCTGTTTTGTAGGTATTTTTGAGCTATAAAACCACCTGTAATTGAATAAGCGTAATGACAGACGAATAAGTAATGACATCTCCATGGAACCAAGCAGAAACAAAAAGTTACACAGTGCAGCTTTAAGTATACAGGCTCATTTTCGTATAATCATAAAAGTCACTAATCCAAATAAACCCTGAAGTAGTCTAAAAGTAATGTAAACACAACACGGCCTACATATATTTCTTTCTTTTTTTTTTTTTGGTAAACTTTGAAACTTATGGTGTCTAACTTTTTGGTTGGGGGTCCGTCACCTGCTTGTTTCTATGGATACGTCATTTCTCTGCCTGGAATGTTCCACAGTGTGACATTAAACAGCTCTACTTTACATTTATTCAATCACAGGTGGGTTTATAGCTCAAAAATACCTCGAAAAACAGGTATGTCTCTCCGCAGATCTGACCTGTAACTCGCTCTGGTTTGATCTCCATGCCGATAAAAAAAAAAAAAAAAAAAAAAGTTTAATGCGATACTGTGAAACATTCCAGACAAAGCAATAACATCTCCATCGAGAAAAAAGCATTTGACAGACCCTCCACCAGAAAAGTTACACAATGCAGCTTTAATCGCCCAGATGTGTATTCGGCTCAAATGAATAGGCCCATTGAGAGTAACGAGTCTCGGTGCAAAACACGGGGGTTGTTTTGTCTGTGTTGTGTGTGTGTGTGTGTGTGTGTGTGTGTGTGTGTGTGTGTGTGTGTGTGTGTGTGTGTATGTGTGTGTGTGTGTGTGTGTATGTGTGTGTGTGTGTGTGTGTGTGTGTGTGTGTGTGTGTGTGTGTGTGTGTGTGTGTGTGTGTGTGTGTGTGTGTGTGTGTGTGTGTATGTGTGTGTGTATGTGTGTGTGTGTGTGTGTGTGTATGTGTGTGTGTGTGTGTGTGTGTGTGTGTGTATGTGTGAGTGTGTGTGTGTGTGTGTGTGTGTGTGATGTGTGTGTGTGTGTGTGATGTGTGTGTGTGTGTGTGTATGTGTGTGTGTGTGTGTGTGTGTGTGTGTGTGTGTGTGTGTGTATGTGTGTGTGTTGTGTGTGTGTGCTAACCTTATGAAAACATCAAAGCCCTGTGAAGTCTGCACACGCTCCCGGCCTTTCATGTGCGCGCGCTCACCACCCGGCACAGCGTCGACAGCGTCAACGTCAAGCTGACCAATGAGAGCGCGGGTAAACAGGAAGTACGTCCAAAGTAAAAGTTTGATTTATTATTTTTATTTTTTATTCACATAATGACACGTACATAACTCTGGATGAGCGATAACACGGGCTTTTTTTCTTCTTTTTTTTCTTTTAAACATTCATAATTAATTAAACAAAACATGAAATAATTCCACGTCGCCACAGCCAGATGCTGTGTGTGTGGACCAGGCCGTCGGGACACCCGTCCCCGACCGCCGCCCAGTCCTCTATGCACCCGACCCCTATGAACCCCTCTGCGGGTGGTGAGCCCACAGGAGGGTGGACCCACGTTGTCCTTTCAGGCTGAGCCCGGCCGGGCCCCATGGGCAAAGGCCCGGCCACCAGGCGCTCGCATTCGAGCCCCAACCCCAGGCCTGGCTCCAGGGTGGGGCCCTGGCTGCGCCATACCGGGCGACGTAACGGTCCTCGATATTGAACTGTTCATATGGGTTCTATGAACTGCTCTTAGTCTGCCCCGTCACCTAGGACCTGTTTGCCATGGGAGACCCTACCAGGGGCGTGATGCCCCGGGCAACATAGCTCCTAGGATCATTCGGGTACACAAACTCCCCCACCACGGTAAGGTGGCAGTTCGGGGAGAGTCCTTGCCTCAAGTGGAGGAGTTCAAGTATCTCGGGGTCTTGTTCACAAGTGAGGGGAGGATGGAGCGTGAGATTGACAGGTGGATCGGTGCAGCGTCTGCAGTGATGCGGTCGCTGTATCGGACCGTTGTGGTGAAGAGGAGCTGAGTCGAAAGGCGAAGCTCTCGATTTACCGGTCAATCTACGTTCCTACCCTCACCTATGGTCATGAGCTCTGGGTAATGACCGAAAGGACAAGATCGCGGATACAAGCAGTCGAAATGAGTTTCCTCCGCAGGGTGGCTGGGTGCTCCCTTAGAGATAGGGTGAGGAGCTCAGTCACACGGGAGGAGCTCGGAGTAGAGCCGCTGCTCCTCCACGTTGAGAGGAGCCAGTTGAGGCTCGGGCATCTGTTTCCAGATGCCTCCTGGACGCCTCCCTCGGGAGGTGTTCTGGGCATGTCCCACTGGGAGGAGGCCCCGGGGAAGACCCAGGACACGCTGGAGGGACTATGTCTCTCGGCTGGCCTGGGAACGTCTCGGGATCCCCCTGGAAGAGCTGGAGGATGTGTGTGTGGAGAGGGAAGTCTGGGAGGCCCTCCTCAGACTGTTGCCCCTGCGACCCGACCTTGGATAAGCAGAAGAAAATGGATGGATGGATGGAACATGAAATAATTAATACAAATAATAATTATAAATAGTGTGAACTTTACCAAGTTCATAAACAATAAATTTGAAAATGGTCATGCTAATTTTCCAAAGTTTGTGATTGTGTCTGTGTCTTTTAAGTTGATTATTGCTTTGAAATGATCAAATTGCCCCATTACTAAATGAGTGGACCATTAACTTACATTGTTGTAAACTCCTAAATGTTTTGAAGTTAAAAGTCTTAAAACAAGTCTTTTATGTGTTTATGAATTCTGTAAAGTTTTTTTATTTCTATTTAGGAGACTGTAAACCAACAAGCAAATAGCCCAGGGTTGTTTGCTTGGTTGGAAAATGAGATATAAAAAATATATTAAAATCGACTAATGTATTTTAAATTTTTTCAATATCTCTTTTTATATCTCATTTACAAACCAAGTCAGCAAATGTGGGACTTTTGGTTGTAGGTTTAAAGTCGCCTAAATAGTGTAAACTATAGAGTAAGGAAGATTTCAGAAATATCCGTGTGCATAGGTTAGAAATCTGTGCATATTTAAGAAATCCGTGCATATTTGTCTGTAGTTGAGCATAAAATAAATACTCATAAACTCTCGAATGTGTGCAGTCGTACATAAAATGTGATGTGTGTATTTTATCCAACAAAATACAAATTGAAAAATTACAATCACAAAATTAAAATTTACGATTATGCTTTCTTTTAGTCATTTAGTCCTGATTTAGTCCTGGCAAAAGTCGATGACGGATTTTTGACAGTCGAGTCGTGTCTGTGAATTCATATTCGTAGTGAAGAAAGCGTAATCGTAAATTTTCATTTTGTGACTGTAATTCTTGACATCGTAACTTTTCAATTTGTATTCTAATGGATAAAATACATACAACACATTTTCTGTAGGACTGGACTCATTTGAGAGTTTACGAATATTTATTTTATGCTCAGCTACAGCCAAAAATGCACGGATTTCTATTCTATGCACACAAACATTTCTGATAACTTTCTTACTCCATGGCAAACTTTACAGACTTCAAAAACAGCATTAAAATGTTTTAAGACTCTCAACTTCAAAACATTAGGACTGTTCCAGACAACGATGTAGATTAACAGTCCTTTCATTAAGTTATGGGACTATTTGCAAAAGTCATTTCAAAGCAATAATCAACTTAAAAGACACAGACATAACCACAACATTAGGAAAATTAGCATGACCATCCAGTTCAAAGCTTCTTTTTTTTTTTTATTGACGTGCGCTTTATTTTGGAGAGACATGAGCGGAAGTGGGCTGCTCGGCTCTTTATTCACGGACTTGAGGAGCCCAAAGTCGCTTCGTGGGAGCTGCTGCGCTCAGAAGCTCAGGAGCCGTGGACCTGGAGACACGCGAGACTGGTGCTCACTGTGAACTGTTCAGGAATACGCGGATTTCTTTTTCATTTTTGCAATTTCAACTGATTTTAAAAGGTAAGATTGTGTTGTTGTTTTTTTCGTCTTTGCGCTTTTACGCTCTGCTTAGGGCACGCGTAATGTCTAAAGGCCGGTCACATATGAGCACGTTTCATTTATAAACAATTCTTAAATATGTGTTGTATGCGAAATGCGTGGTAGATTTAAGATGTGGCAGGTTTTTATTGCGTCGTGGTCGTGCGTAAAAATGAAATGCGAAGTGGAGGCCCTGCTTAGAATATGAGAGGACACTTGTTGGCATTGGATACCCAAATGAAATTCAGTCTGATACTACAACAGCACCGGGCACTGAGCCGGACCTGAGCCTGAGTCTGAGCCTGGAGCTGGGGAGGGATGGACCGTAAAGGACAGAGGATGTTCCGGGTTAATAGGTTCGTAATAAAACGACTTAACACATGCGTAATTAAACTGCGATAAAACTTTACAGCTCGCTCCAAACGCGCCATACACTGACGTTTTTAGAAGTGCATGTCTGTTTTCTATCTGTTTCCTATTTTCTCTCATTTGTCCTCAGTTCCCTCTTCACCTAAATAAGGGAGCGGTCAGTGTTTCCAATCTGAAAGACAAAAATCAGGTGCAGTCATCGCTCGTGTTTCTTTTTTTTTTAACACCAAATTCACGCCCCGACGTATACAACTTGTGCCGTCCGCGGAACAGTTGACATTACGCGTGCGTGAGCTTTGAAGACAGTCTTTAGCGGTGCGCTGCATCTCATGGAAATGTGCCTTAGCCTTAGTCAAGCTGTTGCCCGGCAACGCATTTAAAGGGGAAGTTCGTGAACGTATCAATGATATTAGATCCAAACCTTAAAAAAAACAAAAAAACATATGCACCAGGGACTAGAGGTTGAAAATGAACTCTAAAGCTGCAACTTGGTACATACATCTGTCCTCTGCGCTGTCCCTGTCTCATAAATACACTAAATACATAAAATAAATAAATCTGTTTAGATGTTTATGGAGTGAAACATTTCTGTGAAAGGAGTTTATGGAATAGTCCTGACAAACAAACCAATCAATCAAAAGATCAAGCAGAATAATGGAATTTATAAAGACATAAAATCCAGTGTATGTATGAAAAAGGAAACTAAGTTGTTGCACATAAAAGTGACAATCTCTTTTTGCAATTGGCTAATATTTGTGTTTGAAATAAAATGTACTGATGAAATGTTTTAAATCTAAAAAACATGCACCAGGGACCAGGGTGGAAATGAGCTCTAGAGCTACAGCCTGGCACATGCATCTGTCCTGTTAAGGTTAATATATACTGTGCACTGTCCCTGACTTATGAATACATTAAATAGATAAAATAAATTAATCAGTTTAAGTGTTTAGATTTGGAACCAAGGTTATGGAGTGAAGCATTTCTGTGAAAGGAGTTAATTTATGGAATAGTCCTGAGAAAGAAATCAAGCAATTAAGTACAGTAATGCTGTTGAGCATAATAAAGTTGTTGTGCATAAAAGTAGTGATTGTGATTAAAATGAAATGTACTGATTAAACATTTTAAACCTAAAAATTGCAAATGCCCCAGGGACTAGAGGTGGTAATGAGCTTTAGAGCTACAACCTGGCACATGCATCTCTCCTGTTAAGGTTAATGTGTATTGTGCACTGTCCCTGTCTCATAAATAAACTAACTAAAATATTTATATCAGTTTAGATGTTTATGGAGTGAAGCTTTTATGAAGTAGTCTTGACCAAGTGAATCAAAGAATAAAGTACAATAATGGTGTTTTTTTTAAAATACATAAAATCCAGTATAATATGTAGTATGAAAAAGGAAACTATGTTGTTGCTTGTTAAGTTTGATGTATCCTGTGCACTGTCCATCTCTCACGAAGAAACAAAGTAAATAAATAAAATAAATCAGTTTAGATGTTTAGATTCTGACTCAAGGTTATGGAGTGAAGTATTTCTGTGAAAGGAGTTCATTTATGGAACAGTCTTGACAAAGAAATCAAAGAATCAAGTACAGGAATGGCATTATTGTATTTTTAATGGCATTTAAAATTCATAAAATGTAAAAAGTAGTATGAAAATGGGAAGTAAGTTGTTGCACATAAATGACGTGTGTATTTGGGCATGTCAAGTTGAGTACAGGGCTTTTGGGGAGGGGGCAGGTGGGAAGGATTCATCAAATTTTTTATAATTTAACTTCATGCATGGACTAAAGCTGCATTGCTTTTATTTTAGAAGTGTTTTTTTGTTTGTTTTTTAATGACATTTTTTGTTAGACAACCTCACTTTTTCATTGTTTAGTCAGAACATAAACTCTTACCAGAGTATATGTCCAGCTGGTCAAAACAATGATATTTACTGCTTTTATAAAGAAATACAATTAATATTGGGTTAAGCATTTTGGCTCAGCCCTCCATAATATTTTTTGTTTCTCTTGTAGCCCCAGGGTAAAAATAATTGCCCACTCCTGGTCTAGACAGTGGAATGTTTTTTAGAAGTGTAAACAGACAAGAAGTTTTGTAGTGACAGGAAAAATACTGTATGTTGTCATTTACGGCTGGTATTGTGTCAGACTGTGGCATCGGCCTAAACCGGGTAAATGGAAAAACAAAGTCAAATTGTCAGAGTCACAGTCAGAAAACCTGTTTTTCTTGGTATTTTTGTCAGGACTGAGCTAGGACTGAACCAGGACTAAACCAGGAAAGAACCAGGTCTAAACCAGGTCTAAACCAGGTCTAAACCAAGTCTGAACCAGGACTAAACCAGGACTGAACCAGGACTAAACCAGGACTGATCCAAGACTAAAACACTATTAAGCCAGGATTAAAACAGGTCTAAACCAGGTCTAAATCAGGACTAAAACAACTAAAACAGGACTAAACCAGGACTGAACCAGGATTAAACCAGGACTAAACCAGGTCTTAACCAGGACTAAACCAGGACTAAACCAGGTCTAAACCAGGACTGAACCAGGACTGAATCAGGGCTAAACCAAGACTAAAACACTATTAAGCCAGGATTAAAACAGGTCTAAACCAGGTCTAAATCAGGACTAAAACAGAACTAAACCAGGACTAAACCAGGACTGAACCAGGACTAATCTTGGACTTGAGAGTGAGAGAGAAAACCCCAAGCCCGTGGAGCAGGATGTCCCCTGGGTTAGTTCTGTTTTTTACAGTTTAGTCCTGGTTCAGTCCTGGTTTAGTCCTAGTTTAGTCCTGGTTTCTGATGTCTCAGGTCACTATAGTTCAGTCCTGGAGATATTTGAGTCTATGCAGTTTGTTTTCACCTTGACATTTAAGTTGTAGCTATTTTACATTTGTTTTTTGTTTTTTTTAATACCTCACGTCGGGGAAAGCGGGTGGACGTGTGGCTCTCGACAAACCTACATGTACTCAAAATCGCCTAAAATAAAATAAAATAAACATCTAACCCTGTACGCTCCGTTTAATTCCGCGCTCCTCCGCCTGTACCCTTGTGTTTACTGATCCTGAATAGGAATTAGACTGTGCCCTCCGGCTGCATGTGCAAATGGGCCGCTCCCCTCCCTGCTGTTTCACTCCTCATTCACCTCCCGCTGAATCCGTAACGCGACGACGTGTAGTCCCCCGGAACACCAGGAGCTCTCTTGTTGTCTGCTGCTCTTTGTAAGTCAATGGAAAAATGCTCTTTCACTCATTATGCGTGTTCTCTTGACCCCTCCAGGCCTCCTCCTCCTCCTCTACCAACGACCTACTTGAATATTAAGCGACGGTTTCCCGATTCGACGATGGGGAACGGGATATCGGACCAGCCCGCGATCTTCTCCTGCTTGCCGTCGTTCCAGTCGTTCCACATCGTCATCCTCGGTTTGGACTGCGCCGGGAAGACGACCGTTCTGTACAGACTGCGGTTTAATGAGTTCGTGAACACCGTCCCGACGAAAGGTTTCAACACGGAGAAGATTAAAGTTTCCTTAGGAGCTAAAAGACGAACGGCTTCTTTCCACTTTTGGGACGTTGGCGGACAGGAGAAGCTTCGCCCGCTCTGGAGGTCGTACACGAGATGCGCGGACGGGATTATTTTCGTGGTGGATTCGGTGGACACGGAGCGCGTAGAGGAGGCGAAAACGGAACTGCACAAAATAACGAGGCTGGCGGAGAACCAAGGCGTGCCCGTGCTGGTCGTGGCCAACAAGCAGGACTTGAGGAACTCGCTGACGTTGGCGGAGATGGAGAGCATGCTCGCGCTGGGTGAGCTGAGCATGGCGACGCCCTGGCACCTGCAGCCGGCGTGCGCGATAATCGGCGAGGGGCTCCAGGAGGGGCTCGAGAAGCTCCACGCCATGATCATGAAGAGGAGGAAGATGTTGCGGCAGCAGAAGAAGAAAAGATGAACGTTTAAGAGTGACTTTGCGGAGTATATGATTGAGCGTTGTGTTTTTCGCCGCTGAAGGGACACGACGAAGAGGTCAGGGGCTCTCCAGAGTGTGGGGTGGGGAAGGTTGGCCTGTTGAGGTCGGGCACAACAGAGACTGAAATGGTCCGAACTGCACAGAGGCTAATCCCAGAGAGCCTCTAAAGAACACGAGAAGTTTACAAAGTTTAAAGCCGGCCTCTGTTCCTGCTCTAAGTATGTGCTGCTTCAATGTTCTGAAATCACCAAAGTGTCCGATGCCTTTGAGCAGACGGTGTAGTGACAGTGTAGTGTTATGTGTCCATGTTGCACAGTGAGTTTGGACTTTGTTTGCACCGATGCTGACGCTAAAGATAACGCTGACGATCCACTGGAAACAGAAAGCACACGACCCCCAAACACTGTTAAACGGAGACGCCAGCGGGACCTGAGGACAGAACAGGGGGCGCGTGTGGAGAAGTGGGTCCTTGAGCTGTTTACATGAGCTGGTGAATATGGACTATCAGTATTATTTGCACAATAAAATGTTCTGACAATCTTGCCAGCTGACATGCAAAGTGTTCAACAAGTGTCTAAACAGTGAAAATGGCTTTGTTCTTTAAACTGAGCCTGATGCCAAATGATCTGAAAGAGTAAAAACAAACTAGTTTCACTGAGAATAAAAAGTTTTGAGAGAGTTTGCTGCTGTGGAGGACAGTGCACCTTATGTATGTAAATCTGCAGACTGAGACAGTATCTCATGTATAATTAGCACAGAGTTTGTAGTTGTTTCCCTTTAGCTCTAAGTGAGTTCACAGCTGTGATGAGTCTTGTGTAATGTGTGAGTGACAGAAGCAGCTGTCCCAGCAGGCCCTGCTCTGTTTGCTCTGTTACACTGTTACCTGCACACACACACACGTATGCACACACACACACACATACACACGGGCACACACACTCAAACACACACACAGACACACGTATACACGCAGTCACACACACACACACACGGGCACACACACAAACACACACACACGTATACACACACACACACACACACACACACACACACATACACACGGGCACACACACTCAAACACACACACACGTATACACACACACAGGTATACACGCAGTCACACACACACACACACACACACACGCTGCAGGCCTCCCAATGCACTTTAGCCCTTCTCCTGCAATAGACAGTGGAGACTGTGGATGTGATGAAGTGAAGCACAGGATGATTATGATGTAAATCCTCTGTCACATGAGCTGGAAACTGTTGACATGTTTTGCTCTCACTTTGTTCAGCAGAATCATTCTGTTTCTGTGTTGATCCTCTGTTCATCTGAATAAAGCTGAGTAAATGATGCAGACTGTTGTGTGTTTGTTTCTCAGCAGATTGGAGAAGGCCGCTCTGCCCTGTCCTGTGTCACTCAGACAGTGTGGAGTCTTCTGTGTAACACACACACAGTTTGAACTTTGTCCTTTATCTCTGAGTCGTACTACAATCCAAACATCAACATTGTTCTCACTGAGTACATAGAGTTTCCCTGTCACCTGACCCAGCCTAAAACCTGAACATGTGACTGAAAGCACATGAAATCTTATTTGTATAAGCAGAGCTAATCTCTCTTAGATAAGTTAAAGAGGCGTGTGAACATTGAACTGAGTCAGAGCCTCCACCTGTGAACACACAGCAGAGCCCAGAGTGGCCCACAGCCAGAGCTCTGCTCTGTGTCACTGTGTTAGTGTTGTGTAGTGGTGTTTAGTGTACTGTACACAGTGTAGTGTATTGTACTGTAGTGTACTGTACACAGTGTAGTGTAGTTTAGTGTAGTGTATTGTACTGTAGTGTAGTGTACTGTAGTGTAGTGTGCTGTCTAGTGTAGTGTAGACCTGGGGTCTCAAACCTTTTTCCTCCGTTGAGCTACCTTTACAAAACGAAAATACTAGAGAGCTGCTCATTTTAGCGGTTGCAAGAAATTGAGTAAATAAAAGAGCCATGGCTACAGTTTGATGCTTATAGAACATAAACCATTTCTTACTGCACAAAGTTAGGCATCAAAATCATCCATTTACAATGGTAATAGCCATTTAATTAACCAAAATTTTGTTATTTAGCACAATACGTGTAAATCAGAAATTCCTTAGTGAGCTACTGGTAGCTCACAAGCTACAGGTTGGAGACCCCTGGTGTAGACAATGTAGTGTAGTGTAGTAGTGTAGAGTACTGTAGTGTGTGTAGTGTAGTGTAGTTTAGTGTACTGCATACAGTGTAGTGTAATTTACTGTAGTGTAGACAGTGTAGTGTACTGTATTGTATTACATTGAGTTGTATTGTAGTGTAGTGTAGTTTAGTGTTGCGTAGTGTAAGGTGTAGACAGTGTAGTGTAGTGTAGTGTAGTGTAGTTTATTGTAGTTAGGTGTACTTTAGTGTACTGTAGTGTATTGTAGACAGTGTAGTGTAGTGTAGTGTAGACTGTAGTGTAGTGTAGTGTAGTGTAGTGGTATTACATTGAGTTGTATTGTATTGTAGTGTAGTGTAGTTTAGTGTTGCGTAGTGTATTGTAGTGTACTGTAGTGTATTGTAGACAGTGTAGTGTACTGTAGTGTGTAGTTTATTGTAGTTAAGTGTACTTTAGTGTACTGTAGTGTATTGTAGACAGTGTAGTGTAGTGTAGTGTAGTGTAGTGTAGTGTAGTGTACTGTAGTGTATTGTAGACAGTGTAGTGTACTGTAGTGTAGTTTATTGTAGTTAGGTGTACTTTAGTGTACTGTAGTGTAGTGTAGTCTGTAGTGTATTGTAGACAGTGTAGTGTAGTGTAGTGTGTAGTGTAGTGTAGTGTACTTTAGTGTAGTGTAGTAGTGTATTGTAGACAGTGTAGTGTACTGTAGTGTAGTGTTATTGTAGTGTAAGTGTACTTTAGTGTACTGTGTAGTGTAGACAGTGTAGACAGTGTAGTGTACTGTAGTGTAGTGTAGTTTATGTAGTTAGTGTACTAGTTAGTGTAGTGTAGTGTATTGTAGACAGTGTAGTGTAGTGTAGTGTAGTGTAGTGTATTGTAGTGTAGTGTAGTGTAGTTTAGTGTAGACAGTGTAGTGTAGTGTAGTGTAGTTTAGTGTACTGCATACAGTGTAGTGTAATTTACTGTAGTGTAGACAGTGTAGTGTATTGTATTACATTGAGTTGTATTGTAGTGTAGTGTAGTTTAGTGTTGCGTAGTGTATTGTAGACAGTGTACTGTAGTGTAGTGTAGACAGTGTACTGTAGTGTAGTGTAGTGTAGACTGTAGTTTAGTGTAGACAGTGTAGTGTAGTGTAGTGTAGTGTAGTGTAGTGTAGTGTAGTGTAGTGTAGTGTAGTGTAGTGTAGTGTAGTGTAGTGTAGTGTAGTGTAGTGTAGTGTAGTGTAGTGTAGTGTAGTGTAGTGTAGTGTAGTGTAGTGTAGTGTAGTCTGTAGTATAGTAGTGTAGTGTAGTGTAGTGTAGTAGTGTAGTGTAGTGTAGTGTAGTGTACTGTAGTGTAGTGTAGTGTAGTGTAGTGTAGTGTAGTGTAGTGTAGTGTGTAGTGTACTGTAGTGTAGTAGTGTAGTGTAGTGTAGTGTAGTGTAGTGTAGTGTAGTGTAGTGTAGTGTAGTGTACTGTAGTTTAGTGTAGTGTAGTGTAGTGTAGTGTAGTGTAGTGTAGTGTAGTGTAGTGTAGTGTAGTGTAGACTGTAGTTTAGTGTAGACAGTGTAGTGTAGTGTAGTGTAGACTGTAGTTTAGTGTAGACAGTGGAAATAGTGACGCTGCAGTGGAGCCTGTGGACCTGTGGAGTCATACAGAGTGAACCGCCTCCTGCAGCTGCACATGTGAATGTGAGAGGAACAGAACAGGCCCCACCAGCTGTGCGCTTTGTCTCCAAGTCAATTTACACCACACTTCACTGTACGAAAACATCATATTTAGACTAAACTGTGTCAGTAAAGGCTGCTCTGTACAGAATAGTTATATTGTTGTACAGTTTTCTTTCACACGCTTATCAGTCGCTCGGAGCTGAGGACTTATCAGGTCCTGCTGGCACATGGGAGAGTCTGTGTCTGCTGGAGCTGTACTTTGTCATACAAGAGTCCAGACCGTGATCCAGGACCCCAAACACAGACTCTAGAGCAGCAGGACACTGTATTTACCTTTTGTGGTTCATAAAAAGCCATGGTTAGAAAAGCAAAGAGTGTTTTCAATAAGCAGCAGTCGGAATACACAGGATCTATATTTAAAGCCTGCTGACAGAACCTATATTCAGAGCACAAAGTAAACGTGCTGATTATCCTAACTATACCTTTCACTGCGCACACAAGAAACAAACAGGCTTCAGTGCGTAAAGGAGGTTTCAAGCCTGAGAACTTGGACCAGTTTTCAAGGTAAAAACAAAGAGCCACTTGATAAGACGAGGTGCATTTATTTGTTCAATCATATTTCAGACTTAACACAAATAATCAGGCTATTTTAGAATCAGTGTATCATTCGTTCATTCTTTTTTTTTAAATAAAAGCAAAAATAAGAAAATGAAAAAAACAACTATTTTCTTCATTGTTTGTCTCCAAAACCAAAATGAAAAAACGGATAATGATTCATTTGTGTTTAAATGAAAAATGGAAAAACGGATAATGGTTGTGTCCCGTTTCCGTGACTTAAAGTGCGGAACTCAACCAGGTCTAAACCAGGTCCGGGACCAGACCGGAACCAGAGCGGGACTGAGACCAGGACTTAGGCCGTGATTGAGACTGGGACTGAGACCAGGACCAGACCGGGAATAAGACCAGGACTGAGTCTAGGACCAGACCGGGACTGAGGCTGGGACCAGACCAGGACCAGACCGTGATTGAGACCGGGTCTGAGACTGGAACTGAGACCAGGACCAGATCAGGACTGAGACCAGGACTGAAGCCAGGACCAGACCAGGACCAGACTGTGTTTGAGACCGGGTCTGAGACCTTGATTGAGACTGGGACTGAGACCCGGACTGAGACTGGGACCAGACCAGGACCAGACTGTGATTGAGACCAGGACTGAGACCCAGACTGAGACCGGGACCAGATCGGGACCAGACCGGGACTGAGACTGGAACTGAGACTGGGAACAGGACCAGGACTGAGACTTAGACCAGACCAGGACTGAGACCAGGACTGAAGCCGGGACCAGACCAGGGCCAGACCGTGATTGAGACCGGGACTGACACTGGGACCAGACCAGGACTGAAAATGGTTTAGTCCTGGTTTGTCCTGTTTTGGCCCTGGTTTAGTCCTTGGTTCAGTCCTGGTTCAGTCCTAGTTCAGTCCTGGTTCAGTCCGGCATTGCAGTTTAAGTCAGGGAAACACAAAACCGAAAACTGAAAAAACAAATCGTTATCCATTTTTTCATTTTAGTTTTGGAGACAAATAATGCAGAAAATAGTTGTTTTTTCATTTTCTTATTTTTGTTCTTATATTGAGAAACAAATAAACAAATGATACACTGATTTTTTAGCAACATTTTTGTCCCTTTTAGGAAAATGAAAGGACTAAATTACACATAAGGAGACACCACAACATTACACAAAGCCACGTGTGAATGAAACAAAACACAACTCCAGGTCTGTTTGTGACGAGGAAACAACATTATAACAGAAAACAGAGTAATATAAACTCTTTAAGTGTTGATAAAAGCGTTTTATCAGAGTGTTTTATTTGCTGTGTGTTTAGCATCGGTTTCAGCTCACAGTTTTCTTCCCTCGGGGATTAGGGGCCAGCTGGTTGCGTTGTTGTCTCAGGATGTTCGGGTGAGTCCTGCTGGGAGCTTGGACCGGACCAGGGACACTTTTATCCTCAGAGCTCACACTAAGGATTATGTTTTTAGCCTAAGACATGCTAATAGTGACAACAACTTCTCGTTTAGTTTCAGGATTTGGACTTTGCTTTGGTAAAAACTTGGAACGACCTGGATCGCCTCTGATGTTCCATTTATGCCAAGCTCATTGTTATTTTATATGCACTTTTTGTATTTTTTAGAATTTTGTATTTTGTTTTGGTTTTGTTTTGTTTTATTTGACCGTTTATATCTATATTTTATACATTTAATTTACCTAATTAATTGTTTCATTTATTTTATTCAGTGCATTTAAAGGTACAGTGTGTAACCTTCTGGAGACCTGCATGATTCCATGGAAACAGAAAGTTTAAACCATAATTCCGAACATTCTCCATGGAGATGAATATGTTTTATGCCATCCTGTGTATGATTATAACCAAAGGAATAACAGTAGACCAGGCTTCCAGGCTCCAGGTCAAATAAGAGTCAGGTTTATGGAGATGCAAGCCCGCTCACAGTAAGGACAGATGTTTTTGAACGCAA